TTTTCTCACACAAAAACCCTTACTTAAATGCTAAAATAGCACAAAATTTTGGGGTATTACATCCACCCCTCCTAAAAAGGAGTTTTGTCCCCAAAACTCAAATTGAGGACCATTTCAAGTGGTGAATGGCTTCACCCAATCCAAGACAAAACAAATGTCCCATCGACTTTCTATGAACAGAACACAGCCTACTACGCTTCCGCTGCGCCACTCTGATATCAAATCACAACTAATCTTAGAAAGCAAAACACTTAACTACTTAACAGGGTTTATCATGAAATGAGCTACTAGAGTCTGGGGTGACATAGGAAGCACAATGAATAAAAATAAATCCTGCCAAAGCCACAAAAGAACAATTGTGGGGTTACGCTTCGAACCCAACACAAGACGAGTCGGCAAAGAATGGCATGGATTTAATGACGAGCACAACAAAATTTTAAACTCTTATCAAAGACGGATAAGCATCCAATAAATATATGAATCATGAATGAATGAACAAGTGCATGGATGCCTTGTAAATTCTGCCACAAAACAAGGTTAACCAGAACCAAGATGATGTTTAACAAAGCAACTGGAATCAAAAGGCAAATTTTAGCAATTAACAAGAGTTAAAAGCTAGACCCATCAAAAGACATGTAAGAATCTCAAGAATTGCAACAGAATAAAATCAATGGAAAATATGAATGCTTGGAAGAATACCAGAACATAAGAGTGCAAGGTAGAATGCCTCAAGAATTTTAGCAACAAAATGGCATTCACCAAGAATCAAGATCAAATTTAACCAAGCAGTCAAAATTGAAAGACAATAGTTAACCATGAAACAAGAAATAGAATTCCAAAAATTAGGCCCATAAAAGAGATTCCAATAATGACAATGAGAACAAGAATTCAAGAGCAGATATAATCAGGAGATCAAGATCTAGCACCTCAAGTACTAGAATTAATTAACAGAACAGCAATGGCTGGGATCAAGATGCTTAGAAGATTCATGTCTTCCAATTAAAAGGGCAAACAAAAATCAAAACAGTCAGATACAAGGACCATTTCTCTTGGAACAAAACTCTAGAGCATTAGGCACTTCAAAGACTACCCTTTCACCTCGTAGCTCATGGAGGCTAAGCAGATTTACAATCAAGTCATCCGAGACATCCTAAGGTCACGTCAAAGCTAAGACATCGAGGATACAGAGATGAACACTTGCAAGAGACAAGAATCAGGATACCTCATATAGGTATTTTCTAATAATCATCACCCCTCCTAAGAGGTGTCCATATGAACAAAATCAAAGATCAAGAAGATCAACAAGTATACTGACACAAGAACTAGCAGAATATGCAAGATTTGAGCAAGAGCAGTATACAGAATTTGAACAAGAGCAAGAGTCAAAACAAGAATGATTTTCCAAGGACAATTCAAAATAGATTCCAAGAACAGTGCAAGAATCAATTTTAGACAAGTATCAAGATAATGAGGATTTCAATAATCATTATCCATTTCTGGATTTCAGTTTCAAGAACAAGTATGAAGCAATATCAAGAAAGATTCAAGACGGATTTCAAGAGTTTCAAGCAATTTCCAGATATCAAGAATATAGAGATTGGCAACAATAGAGAGTTTAACTTTATGACAACTTGCCAATCTTCACAAAAAGACAACAATTTCAATTGAATAATCACTGCTCTTGATTAACCAATACAGAAAAATGAGCCACATGAAAAGACCACGAAGCTCCAAATGGAAAAAGTGAAACTTCACTATAAGACTTTCAGAAGATAAGGAGCAACAGAATTATCAAGTTATCCAGCTCCTAAAACGTAGCTAGAAAACACACAACATTTGCTAAAATAGCCTGGAATCTCTTGCAAAGTAGAGGGTTTACCCATCCTCCACTGGTCATGTGACAAACAGAATAGTTTCTCAACCAGCTATGTGGTAGAGACCAACAGGATCAATAGCAAAAGTCTCTGCAACTCCCCAGATTTCACAATTGTGGCAAAAGAGCACACAAAAATTCTATTCACGTAACAAGCCTAAACAAGTGCAGACTATCAGAAATGACCAAGTTTCAAAACAAGGTCTTCAGGACATAACGGGCAAGATTACTTTCACAACTTCACACAAAGTATGAAGGCAAGAAACAAGAACAATCAGATTACCATCTCATCGAAATGGATGAGAAAATTCAGGCAACAGGAATCAGAATCGTCCCTTATATAACCCCATCACTCGTCTCACCACAGGTCTAAAATCCACTGGCTAGCCAAGTCCAAAACAAATCCTAGGTATTCAATTAAACCTAGGCTCGGATATCACTCAATCTGCTCTGATGCCACTCAATCTGGAGGTACTTAATTTAATCCAAAACTCTTAATTTAAACCAAGCTCTTAATTTCAACCTAAGCTCTGATACCACTAAATCTGCTATCACAAAATCTTAATTTAACCTAAGCTCTGATACCACTAAATCTGTCACGCCCCAAAACCCAATTTCGAGACGCGACAGACGCCGTACACTCGTGAGACGGGTCCCACAAATGCACAAGGCTCGGAACTTATCATATC